ATGTAGAAAAGTCAGAATAAATATAGATGTTTTTTAATTTAAAGAAAATTTAGATTGAACACAGTAAACAACTGTAAATTATAGTGTCGTCCCAAAAATATATTGTATATTGTACTTACTGTATAGTGAAAACTAACCTTGGATGATGGGTTAGTAGACTAAAAGCTTTAGGAATCCAAAGTAAAACATATAATAAGTACCCTGTATCAAGAGTGATGCAAAACAAGTGATATTTGACCTTTTTAGACAGATTTAGCAAAAAAAAACTCTTCTGGGGTCATTTGGGTGGATTTTCCATATCTCTGGCCCCCCTTGCTGGATTTTGACATGTGACATATATTTCTAACCGTCAGAGCCAATGGAATCGAGGGGAACTCCCGCATAGTCCTTATTTGGTAATGTGTGTGTGTTAGACTGCCGCATAGCCAAGACCGGAAGCAGCAGCCACTCTGGTGGCTACCATTAGCAGCTAACTTTTGCTCTGCGATTTTTACATAAAAATGGAATTATGGATTATAAATGAAATAATTTTTGTATAAAGAGACTTTAAAAACCTATGGGTTAACCGATTCAGCCGCGTTTTCTCGTTTTAATGCCATTGGTCCAGCATTGCCATTTAATGCTGTGTGTCCGTCAGGAAACAAGCTGTTTATAAATAGTTCCGTGCAAACATTACACATCCCCATGTTTAGTCTAGAAAACGGTACATTTTTGCATTTTATTATAAAGTTTAAAAAAAAAAGAAACACCATTAAAGATTTTTATTTTATTTTTTAATATTATTTTTTATACGGAGATGCTGCTTTGAAACCGTTGTTACAAAAAGTGACCTGTTTCTGCCAGAGAGAGGGGAGTTCAGCTGCGAGTGAGACTACAGACGGAGTTCACTCCTTCACTGAAGGGGAGTGGATAGGGTGTGGTCTGGAATTTGGCCAAAATGGCTGCCACAACAACCCTAACTGGAGTTCACAATTCAAAAATAATAATAAGTAATTCTCCACCTGTTTCCCTGGGGGCCCTTTTCCTCGCTGTGGCCCTCGGTTGCCTCTTTCCCCTTCATCTCCCTTTGGCCCTTTCTGTCCAGGAGGTCCAGTGTTTCCCTTATCCCCCTGAAATAAAGCAACGTTTAAGAAAATATAGCAGTATTTATTACATTGAATATGATTGAAATTCTATAAATAGAATTGGAATAGAATGTGTGCAGTAATGAAAAACAAGATAATTGTTTACATTGTGTGCATTAATGCAATGCAATGCATCCCATAGTGACTGTCTAAATACCAGCATGTGGACAACAGAAGGAAAGGAAACCCCTCAGCAGTATTTAACGCTATGTTTCTACCATCAAAGATATAATCAAAAGTCAAAATGTGGAGAACAAACTAAATTAATATTCCCTCTACATACAGAGATTAAAATATGTTAATCTCTGTGTGACATATTTTATTAAATCCTGTAACACCTGAAGCTTCTCTGACCTGCTCGTTAGAAATTAAAACACAGGAGTCGCTGCTGAAAGGACAGAATATAAAGGGCTGAATAATTTAGTTTGTTTGTGTAATAGCATGCATCATTCTCACATTTCTGAGGTTGTTTTGAAAGTAAAAAACAACCCATTTACTCACAGATAAGCCTTTAAGTCCAGCTGGCCCCACAGGTGCCTTTATTCCCATTGGACCCTGAACACAATAGAAAAACACCGGGTTACTAATTCACGTTATTACCAGAAAGCAAAGGCCGTACATCCTGTGTTTTTAGACAATTAAGATGTTTGAGTGCTTTTAAGTTCAGTTAAATGAAATCAAATCTGTAACAAACACAGTTTCATCAATCTACCTCCTCACCATCGAGACCAGCAACTCCCTCCGGCCCCAAAACCCCTTCAGATCCCTGAAACAGTGACAGAAACAAGAGAGAGATTAATCATTTCATGAAGTGTTTTTGATTGAAAGTTACATTTTTTAAGGGAACTAGTTATTTTTAACTGAATTTAAGTCACCCTCCAAACCCTGGTTACTATTGTTTACAGCATGTTAGGAGACGCTGAGTAAGAAAAGCTTTACCTTGTTTCCTTTGACACCTAAAGATCCAGCTGCTCCCTGAGGCCCATCTTTACCCTAGATGTAGAGAAAGGAAAGAAACAGTTACAGTGACTTCACCTCACCACCGCTAAGCTAAAGGAGGCTAACGTTGGGCTATAAAGGAACTACAGCACGGTCACATGACTTCACGTCACCACCGCTAAGCTAAAGGAGGCTAATGTTGGGCTATAAAAGAACTACAGCACGGTCACATGACTTCACTAATGTTGGGCTATAAAGGAACTACAGCACGGTCACATGACTTCACGTCACCACCGCTAAGCTAAAGGTGGCTAATGTTGGGCTATAAAGGAACTACAGCACGGTCACATGACTTCACGTCACCACCGCTAAGCTAAAGGAGGCTAACGTTGGGCTATAAAGGAACTACAGCACGGTCACATGACTTCACGTCACCACCGCTAAGCTAAAGGAGGCTAATGTTGGGCTATAAAGGAACTACAGCACGGTCACATGACTTCACGTCACCACCGCTAAGCTAAAGGAGGCTAACATTGGGCGTGATGACATTTAGTCGTCTCATTTAGACACAACAAAACAAAATTGAGAAATCCATTGACCTCCAGACAAGGGGAACAGGAAGTGCTAAAGGACTCATTCCTGCACTAAAAGGCTGTAGTCAATCAATCCCACTTTATTTTTTCACCATTTGTTCTTCTTTCCAGTGTCCCATCCCCCTGTCTCTCCTCCTAACGCAGCACATATTTCAGGAGTGATGCATGAGAAGCTGAGAAAGGCAGAAACAAAAGCAGTTTGACCTTTGCATCGCTCTCAGATGTCCCACTGTTTCTGTAAACCTCCTCCGCTGCTTTCCCTGCGCCATACCAACCTCATGATGGGTCATTATGAGATGGAAACGACATCTAACCTTACATAAGCATGGAATTAGACACTCTCCACTTATCTGTGGAGCGAGGGGTGTATACATAAAGCAGATGTACCGTCTTTATTGGTTTAAGATGGTCAGAAGAGTAATTGATTCGTACATCTGTAGCAAATTAACTGTATAATCCTATTTTAAGCCATTTTCAGGCAAAGTTTTACAGCTTCACAGACATGAGGACAAGGAATTCATTTGGGGATGGGGATATTAAAATTAGCTGCTAAATAGAAGAAGGATATTTTACAACGCTACGATGTTGTCCCTGAACGCACCATGACAGCACCTATAGGTTTTCTTTATCTTCTGCATCCTAAAAACTAACATTAGTGTCAAAGACAAGGTGATGTTTTTTAAGAAATGAATGGAAAAGGAGGAAATACAGGATATCTCAAGTGAGAAAATAGATACTGGGAGATTTGTTCTACCAATTTCTTTGATTTGAAAACATATCGTGTCACATGACATACTCATTTCTGACCTCATACAGATATCAGTGTGTAAACAAGGCTTTAAATGAGAATGATATGAATTTCATCCTGTTGGTCTACCTCACACTGAACAGAGTAAAGAAACACATCGTTCCCGCAGCGTGTGAACCAACTGGAGTTGAATGTGCACATTGAAACGCTCCAGTGTTTCTTGGAGGAAATAAAGTCCAGCCTGATTTGTGAAGCTTCTATAATTAGTGAGGCTGGTTCTCGTGAAGAAATGCAGAGAAAGTTTTGCCCATTTTTCAGCATTTTTCCATCGGTTCTGCCCGGTGGAAGAGGAGAGCCATGATGTGGAAAAGAACTGAACGTCTGAGATTCATTTTCTCTGGATGTCCTCCATGTGTGAAAAGTCATAATAATGAAGCTCAGCGCACGTTCAACCGTCTTTATATCTGTCAGTCACACATTTCAATCTTACTACGCTCTCCAAACATCATTACATTCATCCGTGTATTCTTAGCAATGAATATATATTGTTACATCAAAACAAGTTTGTTAACTGAGTGAAATGAGCCGGAAGTACCGGAGTGTCATGAAACGAGTTCAAATCTGTAGATGATAAGGAAAGGAGCTTCAATGCTTCCTTTATCGTCTCCTTAAGGATACACAGGACCATCCTTTACCAAAGGAAAGGAGATATTGCTAACCCACAACAACTGATCATGCAGCAACTTACTTTGAGGAATATAACAATGTTTTTCTACAAAACATGAATCATTTTTGGGGGAAATGTTGAGCTATGAATTATGTCATAAAACAAAATGCCAATAACTAATTCTGTTTACTTAATCTTTAACCCTCTACATGAAGACGATAGTTAACAAATAGCTTGGCCGATTTAGACACATTTGCGGTGGTATTTGAGGACATTCTGACATTTTTAGTCCCCTTAAACTTTAAAATCAACCTAAAATGTATAAAAATCAGCCCGCTGGGGGTACAAATACAACCACTTTCTGGTTAAAAGTGACATTTTTGATCCTGAAAATGTCAGAAATGGATTCAGTATGCTCAATAATCTCCAAAACCACTCCAAAACTGTCCAAATTGGCCAAGCCATTGTTAAACTAGTGTCTACATGTGCAGCATAAGTTAGCCTCTGGCAGTTTCTGTGTGCTTGGGAGTGGACCCTACATTTCTCTGTCTGTATTAACAGAGGTGAGCTTCCCCTCTGAACACCAGGTGTGTTCTCAGGTGGATTTGAAGAACAGCGTTGCACAGGAGGACCCATGTTTGTTTGACTGCTGTGGAAACACCCCTTCAGGCGGAGCCGTGAAAATGCTCATTTCCATCCCGAGAGACTCTTTCTGTTCAGAGCCGTCAGACAGGAGCGACCAGGTGCGAGAAACAAACTCTACCTGGGAACGCGAGGGCCGAAACAACACCGCCTGCAGCAGGGAGGACTCTGTGAGCGCCGGCCGTACTGAAAACCCTCTACTGACGGGATTTATTTATAAATATATGGAATTATCGAGCAAAAAAAAGCTGAAAATATTTTTATTTTTTTGTATATTTTTTTGCTTTTCGATATTTTTATTTCTATTTGAGACGTTTACATTTTGGATTGTTTATTTCTAGTCTTTTCATTTCTTTAAAGTGCAATGCCTTGTCTTTTTATGCTGCAGAAACCAAAAAATTGCCAAATTGGGATCAATGAAGTCCTTCCTATCTTATCTCAGAAGTAGGAGAGTTAATCCTCGCCTCAGTTTAGGAGATTTTCAGTGTCTCTAGTCGAGGCTAATGCACCATCACTTAAAAGGGTTTGACTTACAGTATTTGAAGCTAACGTACCTACAGTTTTTTTGCTGTTATGAGTTTGTATCTTCATGGTTGATTGCACATTATTGTAAGTTGCTAAAGCTAAATGAAATATAGGTAGAAAAGTAATCAAGAATCTCTCCAGATGATATTGCTTTAATAATAACAACACAATGACGGAACAACAAAAAAAGCTAAAACAAGGGATTTAGAGGTAGATATACAAATCAAACTTTTAATATTTGTTGTTCACTTGGATACGAAACCCTGAATTTAGGGCTTTGTTTCAGATCACCACTGAAATGTGAGGTGTTTCTGTCTTTGCTCTCGACTCACAGATCACTTCATTCACATGTGATGCCTCTCCGGAAAGCCATGAATTAGTTTTGCTGTGACTTCAGATTTTCATTGACATATCTACACGGTAGCTAATGTACAAATGACAGTAAAGCCTTGAATTGAATTGAAATGCTAACGTTAGCACACATCTTTCCTGCCAACATCTAGCTTCAGATCTATGCTAGCATGCAGAAACAGAGAGTGGATATAGTGGAAAGTTCAACCATTATGGCGACCGACCAATACTGTATTAAACACTAGTGTTGTCAAATTGTCCTTATTTGTTTACTACTTTAACAATGCAAACAAGGAATTACACAAACAAATAACCAGCAGCAAGTTCTGCAAAATAAAGTCCTGTGTCTGTCACAGGAGTCAACAGACAACTTCAATTCCCAAAGGTATTGGTATACTCAGCAAACAACCACCAATAAACGTCATTCCCTGGAGGTAACATGTTAAAGTATTCAAACAACGCCACGTTAAACACAACAATCACACCTCTGATACCATTCAAGTGACACATTGTGGAGAAGTGTGTGCTGCCATATGATCAACCTTAGCAACAAAAGCTGATTTTAAAGCACAACATGTACACATCTAAAAGTACTAATAAGAAACACCTTAAACAACGACAGGTATGCAGAGAGACTATATTCATCTCTACAGTGGACAGGAAGTGCAGTTTCACTTCAACAAGTATTTGCAGCAGGTTTACACTGAAACTGACAAGAATCCTTAACTTTCATTCTGCAAAATCACGCTTTCAAGACTCACCCGACCCCAACGAACGTCCATATTTGTTCAAGTCATAAAGCAATCCAGGAGAACGAGAAAAAGTTTAGTGGGTCATTCAGAAAACTCCTCACAGCGCAGACATGACGCAGAGAAGAGAGAAAGTGTTGCTTTAGCCTGAGGAGAGAGAGAGAGAGGCGAGCCCAACGTAAACTACCAGACGCCCTGCAGGCAGACAACCAGGAATCTCTCTCTCTATACACACACACACACACACACACACACACACACACACACACACACACACACACACACACACACACACACACACACACACACACACACACACACACACACACACACACACACACA